CACCATATCCTATAAAAAAAAATAAAAAAATCGATGCATGGACTGATTTTAGGCCGTTACCGGGAATTTCTTGTAAGGAAAATCCAATAACTGACTAATTCCTGACCCGATCTAGGAATATTATTTGCGTTGCAGCTATAATAGTCCACTGCTGCATACAGGCTTCACCATAATTTTGTCCTCGTACAATTTGCATATGTAAACTGCCTCCACGATACAAGATAACTTTTTAAAACTTCACGCCCACACTAAGATTGTTTGGGCGTAACGTTTTAAAACATAAAAAATATTTTCTCGGAAATGGGTGCAATTTTAAAAACTGTAAATTATGTTTAACTTTGCAAGTTAATCTAGAAAGGCATCATGTTAACTACATTAAGCATTTTTTTTCTATCTCTGTTTTTTTTTCTAGCTATGTCAGCCATCTTTTCCATCTATGCACAGGGAGGATGACTCACTGGCCGCAAAGGAGAAAGCCGATCTTCTAGGATCTTTCTTTGCGTCCAACTCGACTCTTGATGACGGGGGGAGTACGCCGCCGACCATCCGGCGGTGTGAGTGCTCCATGCCGGAAGTGCAGTTCACACAGCGCTCGGTTTGCAAAGTACTCCTCTCCCTGGACATTCATAAGTCTAGTGAGCTGACGGAATCCCCCCAATTGTGCTGAGGACGTGTGCTCCAGAGTTGGCACCGATTTTAACGCGTCTTTTCCGGTACTCCTACTCCTTAGGCGTAGTGCCAAAATCATGGAAGATGGCTTTCGTCCACCCGATCCCTAAAAAAGGCGACCGCTCAGACCCGTCCAACTATCAGCCTATCGCCATCACCCCTTGTTCTCCAAAACAATGAAATCCATTGTAAACTGCCAGCTCATGAGGTACCTTGAGGATCACCAGCTGATTAGTGACCGCCAATATGGTTTTCACCGTGGTCGGTCAGCTGGTGATCTTTTGGTCTACGTAACTCACAGATGGGCGGAGGCAGTAGAGTCCAAGGGAAAGGCATTAGCCGTTAGTTTGGAAATTGCGAGGGCCTTCGATCGGATTTGGCACAAAGTGCTTCTTTCGAAGCTCCATTGCTATGGGCTTCCCGAGAAATTGTGCGACTTCTTCAGATCGGAGCATCAAGGTCGTTGTAGACGGTGCAAGTTCCGATTGCAAGCTCCGATGGCAATACCCAGCATTATTCCACCCCTCATAAGAACATAATTGTAATGCTCGCGAAAACTCAATTTGTTATCAAAAATTCAAAACACCTAAGTCCTTAGCTTAACTCTGCCTGTTGAGTTTTTGGCCATTGAGAATATATTTAAAGATAATTTTATTTATTTTAATAGTAAAGGACAATACAAAACATTTATTATTATTTAAATACATAATATGATCGTCAGTACACCATCTCGCCTCGGTTTCGATATCTATTTGTCTTTAGCGTCTTCCAGGGTAGCCACTTCATACTTAAAACGGGACATTTCAATTGCGCAACAAGGTCGTTTATAAAGGCTATTGTAACGGCGCTGTCGTCGCGCCACTAGCACACCGAAACATACCGAAGCCTAAATCGCGCTATTAACATTCCGAATCATAAACATTATATATAGAACATCTCCGAACTATCACTTGGAGTATTGGCCGCTCCCCGGGCAAACACCTTACCCGGCGGGAGATCTCCCCTTTTCCTTCCACGACCACAGTGGTGACCCCGACGTGATCTGAACATGCAACCAACAACCTTCGGAAGCTTCAAGCTTCATCATCATCATAAAATACCCTACCCATTCGCTACCGAGTTGATATCATCTGCAGTCTTCATATCCTGCAAGCCATCTAGCTTCACAAGGTTCATCGCAGCACTGGAATAATAATGCTTCCTGTTCCTTCAAGCTACACTCTGCGCTACAGTGTTCAGCAAGGCTCTGAGTCTTACTGCTCGCCTCTGCTTCACGGCACTCTCGCAGATTACTTGCCTTCTTCTCGACTCACCGCAGACTACAAGGCAATCCACTGGCACTTGCATATTCTTCGGTAACGAGGCTGCACAATCGACCTCCGGTCTGAGCAGGGGAGGTGATGTAGCGGCGCTGTCGTCGCGCCACTAGCACACCGAAACATAGAAGTCGCGCTATTAACATTCCGAATCATAAAAAGTATATATAGAACATCTCCGAACTATCACACGGAGTGTTGGCCGCTCCCCGGACACAACACCTTGCCCGGCGGGAGATCTCCCCTTTTCTTCCACGGCCACACTATGAACAGCAAACGGCCGAGAATCTAGCTTTATGGGATACCTGAAGTAACAAGAACTGGGTTGAATAGTTCACCCTTGAAATCCACCAGCTGACTCCTTCAAGACAAATACGATTCTATCCACCAAAGCAGTGAGCCACATATACCTATTTCACAAAGCTTTTGACAAAGGAGAAAATGGTCAAACTTGTCGAAAGCCTTGGAGAAGTCGGTATATATAGAATCTACCTGAACATTTTTAGCAAAAACACAACATAAATAGTTTTTATATTCTAGTAAGTTGGTGATTATATATTTATTTTTAACAAAACCGTATTGGTTGGTAGACAAAAAAGGTTTAATATGATTATAAATGAGAAGGTAATTTTACTGAAAACGAGGCATTCTATCTTATTCTTCAGGGCTGAAACCACATGGCATTTTGAATCTTAGTCGAGGTAAGGTGTAGATGTCTGTAGGCCACAGCATCCACTTATCAGCATGCACCTACCAGGTGGACTATGTGCTCATTTGTCACCCTTTCACTCGGCTACCAATCTAATCAGATCATACAATACCTACCTTACGTCGGCTCTAGTACGGGGCTAATTAGATCAGATAAGATCAGAAGTACTGCCTTATGAAAAAACTACTTTTTCCTTTAAAACAAAACCAAAGACAACAATATGCAATAGATAATAGTATCAAAGACAAAGATATGCTCTTTTATTTTAAACCATAACCTGGCAATGTTTCTTAGAAAAAAAAAAGAAATCACTATGAACTTTCGGCGTTCCACGTGTCGATTTGATGAAGGTGCTCCGTCTTTTTTACAGAATTTTATATTTGTGTCTGGACTAAAAACGAAAGTATTATACTTTTTTATATTCCTTGTAATATAATAAACACGTAGATATGTAATTTGTGGTATAAAAAGTGAAAAGTAAATTGCCAAAAGTACTTTAAATTCCGGAAGGCCCGTTTTGGCGGGTGGGTTATAAATGTGTTATTTTTCAAATTCTCATTTATTTTTAGTGTAAAATGTAAGTAAAAATAGTTTTCATACATATTTCAAATACCATGACGTTGTATTTATTTCAAATTCACACATAATTATTTTTGAAATATTGTTCTAAATGTCATACATATAAAATATTATTTTTTTTAATTTTTTAATATTTTAATATTTTGGTATGAGTAACGAATGGAAACATATAAAACATAAAAATATACATATTTCCAAACAATTTCATATAAATTTCTCCAAAAACAAAAGTGTAGAATTCAAATTAGTAGTAATTTTGTTACTAAAATTGAAGTATATACTACTACTATGCTATACAGGGTAATTTATATACTTTATTACAATTTCTAGCAACCAAAAATAATTTTATTCGATAGTTTATACATTCAACAAGAATTCCTGTAAGTTTTATCCATAAATATTGTCTCAAAGTGAAAATATAGCAAAATTTGCAATATAGCAAAAAATTTTCTAACTTACAAATTTTCCCGCCATTAAGGTCCCGAGCGAACGGGAGTATAACATGTCGCGCGCTGTCAGAGCGAAGTAGTTAATTATAACAAAAAATTAAAATTATTCTCTGGTGGATACTGAAGCAAAATGTATAAAAAGATGATGCTCTTATTCAAGTATTATCTAAATTAGCTCTTTGGTTTTTAATTCCCTTAAGAGCGTTTTATCTTAGACTCTTTAAAAAACAAAAGCTGTAATTAACTTGATGAGTTTATAGCCCATTGCTCCGAATTCTCATTTCTTTTTTCAAGTAGATTTTAGCCAATATCGTGTTAAATTGCGAGCGTATCATATAAGGGTCATATTTTTAAAAGTTTATCTACATTGTCATTTAAAATTCACTTCAAGGTTAAAAAATAAATAAAAATATAATAAAATATCTAAATTTTTACTAACCGATCAAATCAAACTCAGATCTTAATAAAACTCCATTAATTACTAGAGGCTACTCTCATAGACTGGCTCATATGGGGATATTTCCATAGTTGTCACGCTTGGCGACAGGGTTAGCAACTGTAGTTTTTTTAATTATTTGAGTTGTTCTCATCTCAAGATGCTGCTGCTCATCTACTGTTTAGCTTGCCTCTATCGCTCCTTATGAAACGTTCATGAGGATAGTGGGTAGTAATTTCTCCTACGTGGCACATTTTTGTAATTTTATGTACAAGCAGTTTTATTTAAGGTAGTTTTTTTTAATATAACGAATGAAAATTATTAGCATCAACTCAAGTATTAGGTATTATTATGAATATGGTACAATTATCAACTAAAACACAGCAACATTATTCGGTTGATTCACGTTGGTATTTTATACTTTGATAAAGCCGACGGTGAAGCTTCCATTAAATCCGAAAAGCCGGGCTTGCCTTATTAAACCTGAATAATCAATAATATCAACTAATAAAATAACTCGTAAAATGTTTCAAGCTGTTTCAAATTTCCCGCGCACTCCACTGTTCGACACATGTTGACCGATGACCTCGTATTGCCTTAGCGATATTGCTGCTGTCATAAAAAATGAGTTTTAACCCATATAGGCCTACCGTACCCTATGTGGTACAGTTACTTTGTAAAAATATTTTGATGTACCCACAAATTATTAACTTTTTTGGTTAGTTGTGGCAGATAACTCAGAGTATTAGTTTTATATCAACAATATAACATACACATTTTATGCGAGTTATTATCAGTTTATATTAAAATTGCTAGACAGAAACGGAAAAAAACAATTTACAATGTCTTCAAGAAGGTAAGTTTCATGTTATCTATAGTAAATCATATTATTTGTTGGTATTATTTTAAATACTAGGCTACAATAGACGTAATAGCTACAAATAAGTTTCACTTGGGTCATTTTAGTAAGGTGTACACAGTGCTAGATTAGGTGTATCATATATGGTACAGTAGGTCTATGTATGAGCACAAAATACCTAAGTCAATTTACATATTATTATATTAGCTTTTTATTTATCTTTTTTGTGTTTTATTGTTTTAGGTCATTGACATTACATGAAATTGCTACAGTTCTTGAGGAAGATGATGATTTTAGCAACCAGAGACAAGATTTTGATATTTTTTTACTTCCACCTGACACCGCCAATGATTACCAAACTGACGAGGACTCGGGTGAAGAAGATAACGTCAGCATAAATAATTTGCCTGGAAGTTTGCTTCGAGCTCCAGCGGAGCTTGCTGCCTCAACCTCAATGGAAAAACCAGAAACTGAGGACCAAACCCCTCCCGAATTTCAAGAACCTTTAAAAAAACGTGTCATGAATTACAATTGGCGAAAACGAGACTTGCAGCTAAGACCTATTGTTTGGAAACCCCTTTATCATACTCCTATTGAAAGAAGCCCGATAGAATGGTTTTCTTTATTATTTTCAGAAGAAGTATTTGAGATGCTTACTATTGAAACCAATAGATACTTAGCACGTAAGCTTCTCTGCTGACGTCAAGATTGAAGAGATGAAATGTTTGGTAGGGATTTTGTTAGTCAGTGGCTACTGCCAAGTGAGCAGAAGAAGAATGTACTGGGAAAATGCATCTGACTCAAGAAATAGTTTGATTGCTTCAGCCTTGTCTCGAGATAGATTTACACTAATTTACTCTAATATTCATGTTGCTGATAATCTAAATTTAGATACATCCGATAAATTTGCAAAAGTTCGTCCTTTATTAAAAGTTTTAACTATGAGGTTTCTTGAGCACTGTCCACATAAGGAGAATCATAGTGTTGATGAGGCTATGGTCCCATATTTTGGTCATCACGGCTGCAAACAGTTTATTAGAGGCAAGCCTATAAGATATGGATACAAATTATGGGTTGGTGCAACATCAGGAGGTTACATTGCATGGTTTGAACCATACCAAGGTGCTTCTACATTTACGAATGCCCAATATTACCAGCTTGGTCTTGGTGCAAGTGTGGTTTTGTCTTATGCAGATCAACTAGCAACATTAGGCTATGGAAAAAACTACCATCTCTTCATAGATAACTTTTTTACCGGTTTGCCTTTGGTTCATGAACTTACTGAGAGGGGATTTCGTGTAACTGGTACTATCAGAGAAAATAGATCTGGAAAGTGCCCTCTATTAAGTAACAAAGAAGCAAAGACAAAAGAAAGAGGCTTTTATGATTATCGCATATCTGATGGTATTATAATTTGCAAGTGGCATGACAATAGTATAGTGTCAGTATGCTCTAATGCAGTTGGTGTTGATCCTGTCCACAAAACTGAACGCTATTCTCAGCAACTAAAAAAGAAAATATCTGTTTCTCAACCTCATCTCATTCAACAATACAATAAAAATATGGGTGGAGTAGATTTATCAGATCAGAATATATCGTCATTGCGAACTAGCATTCGAGGAAAAAAGTGGTATATGCCTCTGATTCTCCATTGTATAGACATGTCTGTACAAAATGCATGGCTGCTGTACAGACATAATGGAGGGAATATCGACTTGCTAAACTTTCGACGTCGTATTGCAAACTATATTATCGATTGTAATAAACAACGCGAAAGGCCAGGTCCTAGTCGACCATCTTCAATAACATCAGACTCTCGATACGACGGCAAAGAACACTATGTCAGCAAGCAGGAAAAGAGGACCAGGTGTGGCCTATGCCACAAACAATGTCCTACAAGATGTGTCAAGTGCAATATCGGTGTCCACGTAGAGTGCTTTATTATGTATCACACCAAAAAGTAAATAAAATCTAATTAGTAAAATCATGTCTTTTTTTGCATACATATAGTCCTACTGTACCATATGTGGTACGTCCCTTCAGTCGCCCCCCCTCTTATTAATTTTTTTTTTTAAATATTTTTCCCCCGGTTTTTAGGCTTTCTTGGATCAGGTTTTGTTAATGAAACATGAATTTTTCACAAAAATAATTATCGGTCTAAATGGGTTAATAGAGCTAATAGTTGTCTCCCTCGCTCGCGTGGGCTTTTTACGGGGCTTTCGAGAAGACGATCGCTCTCTTTCTAACCTATGGCAAAATATTGTATAATGAAATATAACTACGATTGTACAAATATATAGCAATTAGTATAGAGATTTGAAGCCAGGCTTTTGGGAATATATTTGTTAAAAGCAGAGGCGCGCGGGCAATACGTTTGCAAGTTCATTTCACGTTTCAATGTTTATTTACTCTGTGTGCTTATCTTAAGCGATTTAATACTACGAGGTCAAAATGTATGCTTTTTTAAAGATTTTTAATGAAAATGGAGGATAATAGTGTTCCTTGTGATGAATTGAAGTGAGTTAAAGTGATAATCGGAGAGGAAATCTTTAAACTTTGTTGAGATAATACACAAGGTTAAGAGTGTATTTCAGACTTATCAATTATCGCAATTAAAAACAGTTATTGGTGCAATTAAAACGTTCACCAAAATTTTACGTGGACGTAATTAAATCTTTCCATAAAAAAGCGAGACGATTCCACTTATTATTTTGTACATAGTTTGTTTGTACTTTGTTCGTATTTTACTTTTGTTCATGTATTGTACTCGTATTGGATGTAAATATTTTTTTTCTTTCGCTTAAATAAACCCTGAATATGAAACTGGAGCGTATAGACAGATCAAGATTGGTGTATTTTTATAAAACTGCTAAAAACAACAATCTATATTTTTATCAATTTATATCTTGGGCTTGCCCTAGCTTGGAGATCTAGCTTCGCCACTGATTGTCACAGCTGCGTATACTCATAGATAGCATAGCTGCAGCGTGATTCTACTTTACTACACTAGGATTTACTTCATCATCATCATCATCATTACAGCCCTTCACAAGTCCACTGCTGAACATAGGCCTCCCCCAAGCAATGCCACAAAGCAAGATCCTAAACCACCTGCATCCATCGACTTCCTGCATATCTTACCAGGATTCCTCACTCCATCAAGTGGGGGTCGCCCCTACACTACGCCTACCGGTACGAGGCTGCCACTTGAGAACCTTCCTTCCCCATCGGTTATCGGTTCTTCGAGCTACAGGGCCGGCCCATTGCCACTTCAGCTTACTAATCCTTTGGGCTATGTCGGTCACTCTGGTTTTACTGCGGATATCCTCATTTCTGATTCTATCACGATTTGAGGATTTACTTGCAACTTTATATATATATATATATATATATATATATATATATATATATATATATATATATATATATATATATATATATATATATATAAAGTTGCAACGGGCTGCAACGCTGCCGTTTTAATGACAAAAGGCACAACTAACATTTTATAATATGGATAAGTTTATAAAATTTTGTGTTTATTGGTAAAAAATATCGATTATAATATTATTTTTCGAAAATAGATGCATTCCAATAAATTCATTTCCCACGATTCCTATACGATTATTGAATATTTTATTAAATAATAAACATTTTCTCCTTCAACGTAGCATAAAAAATGTAGTAAAATCATTAATATTACGAATAAAGGGCATAACTAACCAAATGTGACTTTTCATTCTGACATTTTGTGTAAAAATATGAAATGTTACAATGAAAGGGCACATTTATTAAAATGTGCCTTTTCATTATAATAATACAAAAAAAACAGGTGAAAAAATTGGGGGAATATTTAAAAAACTTTTAGTTGAAAAAGGTTACAAAAATAATCGTCTCGAAAATTAAAAAAATTAGATTAACTGTAACTTAACAAATTAACAATAATTATCGGTAATTATCAGTCATTAAGGAACTTATTTGTTTTTTTTTTTTTATATAAAAATCACAGTAAGGATTTTTGATCAGCTTCTAATTTAAGAAAATTATCTTTATATTAACGTTTGTTAAATATGGCACTTATCTTTTAAAGTTACTATAATTACAACATTTCCGGCCATGTCCTATAATCAACATTTATCAAAAATAGAATAAACAATAACTATTTCAAAAGTTAAAAAAACTACCTATAAATTTATCACAATTATCAAGGCACTTATAACAAAAAATTTGGTCAAAATTAGTAAACTTAAAAATTAATCAGTCTTCATAAATTTGAGCTAGATCAGCTGAGCTATCATTTACAGGTAAGGTTTCCGAAAATTTCTTCTATTATTAGGCATAAGTGGACCAAGTTTAGTGAGTATAGTGGTTTTTTTTCACTCGTTATACCTCTCGGAGCAAGTCTTTGGCGTGGTGCTGGAATATCTTCTTTGAGATTTTTTAACTTACGGAAATCTGATTCATAGTACTCATCAGTGCCATGGCTATTTTTGTAAAATAATAAATTGAATCCCCTGCGAAAATTATCCCCGGAAATTTCATTCATGTAAGTTCGAAGGCTAGAATTTTTTAAGTGAAATATCGAAGAGCAGTCTGCAAAATCAAAAAAATCTTGAATAATCATCTTCTTTAATATTGTGTGAGCCAGTATGAGATACAGCTTTGTATAAATCCTCAAAGTCATAAATACGTTTTTTTTTTGTTTTTAGAGATCGTTTCACTCTGTGGTGGAATTCATCAGTAGCCATGAATGAATGACCAACTTCCAAATAGCGCAAAGAAATTCTTTCAAAACTAACTTCGGCACCAAAAATTACGTGCTTTAGGTCTCAGTTTTCTATAAAAAAAGCCCTGAAGCAACTTAAAATGTCCTCTTTTATTCCTTCGTACCACAAAACGGCGAAAGTGTGACCAACTTCATGTATTTTTTTTGTTTCCTATCGGTACAAAATTCTGATTGAAAGCAATAATCCGCAGAGAGAACATCACAGTTTTGAACTCTTACATACGGGGTAACATAATAAGTTTTTGCAAGTCTACGGCAAAAATAAGAGTGTCGGCATTATTCTTTTTTGAGTCTTGTTATCAGCATCTTCTTCGTACTTCTTGCGAGCTAAAATATACTTTTCGTGATGTTTTTCATAACCTTTAATGCTTTACAACCTTTGAACCTAATTTCTGAGTTGGGGTTATGAATTGTAAATTTTTCGGAAAGCTCACACTCCTCGTAGCCTAACTTGGCAAATTATATATTAAGTTCTTTTACAATTTTTAAGTAAAAACCGTACAATACTTTCGTTTCAGGCGCATTTTTCATTAATGGTCACATGATTCGAATACTGTGATCAGAAGGCAAATACTTTTTGTTACGGGCATGTTCACGTCTGTAATGGGATACAGCAAGACGGAATTAGCTGTTTTTTTTTTCTCTTGCTTTTGGTAATTTTTAAGTTTTATCCAATACTGAGTCATCAGAATCAAAATCGGACCCTGTATCTAACACAGAGTGCGGCACCACTACATGCTCCGAGCTTGATGATTGCATCGAGTTTTGAACGCCACTACTTGTTGACGGCGCGTGAGACCACTTGGCTACAGAATTATCGTTGCGTAAAACAGCAATTGTATTATTGCTTTCGATAAAAATTAACGGGAGTAAAAGTAAACTAACTGATTAATATGCACGGGCAGTTATGAGACGTTTTACGAATAGAAGCAACGTTTTTCTCGATTTCATGTCAGTGAAGTCACGGGCAGAAACCAGTTAACAAATTATTGCGCGTTTCGTATTCAAAATTATTAACAAAACAGTATACCTACTAAAACTGGCATATTTTTAAACTAAATCGCAATTAATCATTCAAAAAATTGTCAATAAATACTATTAAATTCATATCAACTTGTCACAAAAGTAATGATAGTAAAGGAATGCAAATAAGTAACTAAAACTTACCAGCGCAGCACAGATATTGTTACATACGGGATTTAAACATTTGGAACAAGGCACTGGGATCGATTGCTAAGCTCCTGTACCACGGAATCGTGTTACCGTGAAAATTTAAGTCAAAGTTACACACTTACCTCTGAATCTCTATTTTTTCAATTCACTAACAAAATAGAAAATGAAATAAAGGAAATACATCATAAAACCTAAAACTCAATAAAATGTCACAAAAAGCAATGACAAATTATCAAAATTATTTATCATTCAAAAATCAGTATTAGTAAAAATCAAGATATGGAAAGTTTTAACTCATTTTCGTTCCAAAAATGTAAAACCCAGTTACACGTTAACGAAAGTTCATTTCCCTTAATTAAAAGTGAATGGGAAGGGTACTTGAGGGAAATTTCATTTATTTTATCTCTCAAAAATTCTCTTTTTGATGAAATAAGACGAAAGTGAAATGCGGTAGCATTAATTACATTAACCACGTTAGCCCATTCGGCGAATTTCGGCCGAGATAGACTACCTATTTAATAAGAATAAAATAATATTTTCGAACGCTGAAGTGGCAGGCTTTCTTAGCATTCCTTGGCGCTTCTTAAAATCTACACGGGATGATAGATTTTCTCACACAACCACTTTAGATCCCTTAATATATTTTAATTGTTTACATCCTGAGGCGTGTCCATGCTGTTGTGAGAGTTAGTGACCTAATAAACTCATTATACAAAGCCGATTATCGGCTTTGCAATTTGTTTGTTTGATTTTGCAGTTCCCGCTCCGTCAGTTGTGAGATTTTCATAACAATTATTTGAATCATAATAGCGGCAACAACAGCATCTTCTAGATAATAACTCAATCAAAATTGCGGTTGGTAACCAACCTGTCAAGCTTTATAGCTATGCCAAAACCCACCAATTGAGGCAATTTATTGGGGAGACCTTTGTTTGAATGAACAATGAATATTTAAACATAAAAATATTTACTGCATATTTTTTATGGCGGTAGAGTCATGTATCA